AGTTTACCATCCTCCATATCCAGTTCTTTGATTCCAAGATAAATCATATTATCAGGAATAAAGCTCACATTTGTAAAAGTGATGTCAATGCATGTAGAATTCAGTACATTGTGGTGATTCCAGAATCTTTCTCCCCCTTGATTTTTTTCAGACAGGATCTTACCCTGTAGCATGAGCTGGCCTCAAACTCAAGATTGTCCTGTCCAGCCTCTCAGTGCTAGGACTACAGGCATGAGCCACATGACCTTTAAAAAACAATCAAATGAGCATTTGTCTTTTGAACATGCTATTTTCTAAGCACATCTGCCTTGCTGGAAGAAAACAAACTGTCAATCTTCATTTCAAAGATGAGTCAAGACAATTTTTGGTTCTGTTATCTTTAACTTGGAAGAGAGAGAACAGGGTAAAGAGTAGGTTCTCTTGGAAAACACTTTTTTTCCAGGCTTTGTAGCATTTGCCTGAGCCCTGTTTGGGAGCTGTATGCCTCGTAAAGTACTCAGAAGTAATAGATGCATCTACATGTTCCAGGCTCTATTTAACAGTCTCCATGCAGCTCATCTCCCCTCAGTTTGAAACTCATGGACAAGGCCAAAGTCAATCCATTGCAAAGTGGGAATTTGAATGCTGGTATCCCAACTCCAAGGTCCTTTTCATTGTATGGAAGAGGAACTTGGTGATTAAATATCTTAATGGCTGTTCCCAAGAAAAAACAATGATTGTGGGAAAACTTTAGCTCTAGGAACTTTAGCTTTAGAGCAGCTTAGAGCCAGATGTGGCAGTATACACCTTGAATCCTAGCTATTCAAGAGGCAAAGCCAGGATCTCAAATTTGAGGCCAGCCCAGACAAAAGTTAGCTTCATCCTACTTCAAAAACAAAACACATATGAAAGAGGTAGGCATGTATCAAGTGGTAGAGCCTAGAGTAGCTTAAGACTAGACTCTCTGAGCTGGGGAACCTAATAAAAGAAATCAAGATGAGCTTGATATTGGTTAATACATTATAAGAATACCAGTTGCTTCTATTAGCCTTAAATCTGATCCTTTAGCAATTCTGAATATAATTAAGGCAGGCTTGTATCTGACTTATTTCACCAAGCAATCTGAGAACCAGAATAGGTAGAAAATATAAGGAGGAAAAGATGAATGTGTGCAGACAGGACAATGTAGTCTTTGTGGGCACAGCATTTTTCAGTTTCCTGGTTCTCTCTAAAGCTTTGATATATCACTTGAGGTCACAGGAAAGGTTCTCAATTGTAGTTTTGTTCATATGATACTTTGTTTTGAGTTCTGAGTTCTCCCAGAGTTAAGTTTTGGTCTTTAAGACTAATACAGAGATGCCATTTCCAGGAAGTTCTGGTTCTTCCAGATAACCCAAATACTGGAGAAAAAATACATCAGAGTGAACCCAGCCATCTTCAGTTGTTAGTTCTATTTGTCATTAAACAAGAAAACTTGTCATAAAGTCAGTCCTATTTCATGGTGCTAAGTGGGTAGGGGTGAGTTGGCAGCCAGAAGTGTGGGTGCAGTATCGCTGCATGATAAGTAGCATCAACATACACACACACACACATCCACACACACACACATCCTGTGGTTAGTGGGAAGCAATCTTCTTTCATTTTTGCATTAGTCTCACCAGTCTACAAACCCTTTCCTTTTGAAACAACTTCCCTGAATATGTCACTTTACTTTTTCATGGGCCAACAATTTAAGTGCTTAACGTTCACCAAAGTAGAAACAAATGATGTAATGATGCTTCCATTTTATCCAAAGAAAAATATCTCTGTTTTTCAGCAATGTGTTGCATCCTTTTCAGAAGTAAAATATTTCATGAAATAAATCAAGGAGAATTGGGTCATATAGAATAGTTTTCTTTCTAGAGTATGCTGGACTCTGGTGGTGGAGGGCATAAAAGGAATGATATAAATATGAGAAATAGAAGTTTCCAGTAGATGGTGGACATTGTAGTTTTATTTGTGGTAACCATAAACTTTCAATTTTAACTTTCCTTTAGGCTTTCTTGTCTACTATTAACTTCATACTTTTCTCCAAATTCAAGGGAAAACAGATAAATAACATTTTTTTCACTGAAAATAATATCTCTTTAAATTACTGTCAAATTGTTTAAATAGGGATACAGGTGGACCCACTGCAACAATGAGATGTACAATATGTTACGTCGATAAATGAACTTTACAACTTTGGCGCGGGGGTATAGAGGGTTGGGGGTGGGGAGATGGGAAGGGCTGGGAAGGGGAAACAAAGGAGAAGGCAACAGTGCTTGATAAGAAATGTACTCATTATCTTGCTTATGTAATTGAAACCCCTCTGTACAGTATTTTCACAATAAAAAATACATAAAAAATTACTAATGTCAAAATATTCGTTTTGTTTATTCACCTGATCATCCTGTACTGGAATCACATTACAAAATTTATTTCATGGGAGGGAAAACAATTGAAGAGGAAGAGTGACAGTATTAAGGTTGTTGGGATTTCATTATATGGGCTTTCTGACACACCATCAATAGACCTCGTTTGGAAATAATACTAGCAGCTTGCACTGTGCATTTTTACAATGTTAGGATACACTTACCTTCTTGCCAGCAATTACAATGGTTACAAAAATGTAACTTTAGAAATAAAAGCAAGAGGATCTAACATGCAGCTCTACTACTTATATAACTGGGATCCTGAATCTTTACTTCTTTAAAATAAATCTATAAAATAGGAATAGCACTGCCTACTTCAAAAACTTTCAAGGGACAAATAATGCACGTGCAAGTGTTTGTACAGAGCTCGTCACTTTTGGATATTATTACCCAAAAGAAATCACTACCAAAGGTATGACTTTATGACTATACGTTTTTTTATTACTACAATTGGAGAGCATATTTTTAAATTCTATTGGCTGCATTTCAGTAACACAGTCTTAGAAACCTCTGTTTCACTTCATTTTTATCATTTTCTTCAATGATGGTGTGTATTAAAATACATTAAAAATTCATGAAGCTAAATGAATACCAATCTTGAAATCGTTTTTTTTAAACACCGTTTTACTGGTGGGATGTAATAGCAAATAATTTCTTGCAGAAGGCAGTAAGTAGTGCTATTTACTCACAATGATTGTAACTTTCTCATTTGCTTTCTTAATAGGTAACAGATGTGGAAAGATACGAGTTTGTCCCACCCCACCCCCAAATGCTCACTGCAGCATATGGCCTTGCATCAGATTACACTATATGTGACACTGTAGAATACTCTTGTATCCATGGAAAAGAAGATCCTAATTTACTGCCGAGTTTCCCTAGTGTATGCAACATGCATCTGACTTTCTTTGTTATCTGGCTAAGGAAACTTAGGAACTCTCAAGTTGACTTTATAGATCTCAAGCTTACTGATAAGGATGCACATATAGTAAGTGTGGGTGACTTTCAAAGTTAGTAGTTGCAAGAAATGCCTGCAGAGAGGCACTAACAGAAATGATTTTTGTGGTCAGATTCAAAACATGACCTTCATGATGAAATGCCATCCTTCAATTAATGTGGATATCACAGGTTTTCAAACAGAAAGAAACCACTGACTTTATCCCATTAGAAATTAAAATGACAAAACCTTCATCCAGACAAGCAAAATCAAACTATCAGTATAGATCATTCCATGAAAAACAGTAAAAATTAGCCGGGCGCCAGTGGCTCACGCCTGTAATCCTCGCTACTCAGGAGGCTGAGATCTGAGGATCGCGGTTCAAAGCCAGCCCGGGCAGGAGAGACCATGAGACTCCTATCTCCAATAAACCACTAAAAAACTGGAAGTGGCGCTGTAGCTCAAGTGGTAGAGCACTCGCCTTGAGCTGAAGAGCTGAGGGACAGCGCCCAGGCCCAGAGTTCAAGCCCCACAGCTGCCAAAAAAAAAAAAAGAAAGAAAAAAAGAAAGAAAAACAGTAAAAATTACTAGTGAATCTGAGAATCTGGTCGTTTTTATTTATAAATAGTTTAAGCATAAATTGTGTTGAATTCCTACAAAGAAAATAATTATGACCTTTTTAACCTTATCACTCCAAAAGCATACCCTATAGGAGCTAGAAACACCTGTGGCTTTCATTGTACATCAAATACTTCATTACTGGGCTGTGGGAGTAGCTCAGTGGTAGAGCACTTGCTCAGCATTTTCAGGGTTATGGGATTTACCCCTGACCTCTTAAAAATAATTTCAAAAAATAAAACTTCATTAGTTAGATTTGCTCTGGAAAAGTTGGTGACATTTGGGGAAATTGAGATACAAGTTTCTTTAGGCCTTCTTTAATTCATTTTTACCCTTCTCAGGAATTAATATAAAAGAACCTGAGGCAGATGCAATCCCTCTGGAAACTCAAGTTGGGGCATCCATTCCATGAGAAGAATCTCAACAGCTGGCGGCTCACATCTATAATCCTAGCCACTCAGGAGGCTAACATCTGAGGACTGCGGTTCAAAGTCAGCCCCAGCAGGAAATTCCATGATACTCTTATCTCCAGTTAATCACCAGAAAATGGGAAGTGGAGCTGTGGCTCAAAGTGGTGGAGTGCTAGCCTTGAGCAAAAAGAAAAAGCTCAAGGGCAGCAACTAGGCCCTGAGTTCAAACCCCATGACTGACCAAAAAAAAAGAGAAAGAAACTCTACAATATTTCTTTTCATCAAGACCTATATCACCCAAACATACCTAAAGACTGTAACGCAGCATCTAGATATGTGTCCCCCACACTGGAGAATATAATCCAAATGGTAGGCAGCAAAATACCCGAAAGCAATCTTATGTTACTCCTCTAGGTAACTATGGGAATTCCTGCCTGTGGGATTGGGTGAGCTATTGGTTTGGAGTTATTTGGAAGGTGAGAATGCTTCATTGCTTTTAAAAGAGAGCACTTCAATGAATTGTTAGTTACCAATGTAGGAAACTTTTGTTCAGAAATGAGTTTCATCCTTGTATGATTGTCCTTATTGAAGGAAACACAGACCTCATTTGCTTCAGATGCATTTTATTTTTAGCAAACCAGTTAGAAAGTTGGTTCTAGAGTATCACACATGTAAATCACAGGGAAGGAGACTTTCAAGTGATTGGCACATGTTCTAAGGAACCCGCCTGGAGGAAGGAAGTACAACATGATTTCCTCCCATAGTCCCAGGGGGTTTTACTGCAGCTTGGATAATGAGAATGTATATTTGGTTCAAAAGTCAGAGTACCTCTGTCCGGACAGCCGTAATTCTTTTTATTAGGCATTTTTTGACTAAGCATTAAACAATATAAATCCAAATAATAATTTCTAAGCTAGTGCCCAGGCCTGTAATTTAGTCAAGTTTGTGTGTGAGTGCATAAACCCACATGCACACAAATATAGAAACACACACACACACACACACACACACACACACACATACACACACACACACACCAAATTTTTGAAAAAGAAAACACTTTTCATGTTTCACCATACTGTAAACCACTCCATTTTATAGAGCTACATATCTTTGAAAAAAACAAAGTCTTGGTACACATGCATACATACTTTCTTTTCCTGATCAACACAGCAAGTCCATTTTATTATGAAAGGAGAAAGAGACAGAGACAGAAAGAGATTGAGAGAGAAACTTTCACTAAGGAGTTTAGAAAACAATCAGATTATACAGAACTATGGTGATAATAGCAGATGACTGATTGTAAGTCACTTCCTTACTGCTGATTAACGCATTCAGGAACAAATCAAACATGTGGCCAGTAGAGGAAGGCTACTACTGTTCATGCCTTCAGGGCTACTGGTTTTGATTGTGCTTCCCAATCAAGAAAGTGTTCTTTCCCTGGCTCCTAACACTATTTATTTATTTTGCTTCCTGCCAATCTTGAAAATAAGTCATCCTGTGTGTCATTATCTCATAAATGTTTCCTGGTGCTTAATTGCTTTGCCTGTGCGGCATTTGATTTCAAACTGCCATCTTACCTTTATAAACATTTAGAACTTTCTAAGCATAAGGAGAATGCCCAAAGGCATACACTGTAATTAGATCAGCAAGAGACTATTTCACAGCATATCTAGCTTTCTTTGTATACCAGAAATCTCTCTTTACATCACTGTTACATTCCCAATCTGAGTGCAGAAAACAAAATTAACATCTGGGAACTCGAGCAAAGAGGTCCTGGGATCAGCATGTTTAATTTACTATTATTGCAAAAGATCAGTTTCCCCATGTTTAGTAAAATAGAAAACATACAATATTATTTAAGGCTCTAACCCCAGGCCATTAAAAGGTGGGATTAAAAACAAAAAGGAAAGAGAAATGTCATGAGTTACCACATGATTTTTGTAGTAAACAATAGAATATGCCGTGCAATAGTGCAATTTTCCTTTGCCAGTCCAGCAATGCAAGTCTTCACGGAAAGTCCATTGATGTTATTTGTGCAATTTGGGTTTTAGGTGCGTGCTGGCCGAGGGTTGGAGTTCCTTCCAGACTTCTGATTCTGCGTGGAATCACCAATGCCAGAGTCGGTTTTACTCAGTCCAAGATGACGGAGCTTCACATCCCAGCGCTGTGAAATGAATAGCAGAACGTAATCACTTGCATATACCACCAGCAACATCATTTCTATGACTTTCCCACCTAGATAAGACTACAAAGTCAGCTCTAAAGCATTTTTATTACTTGAATAGAAATATAAAATTCCTATTCAGGGTACCAGTGAAAGAAACACTATATGCTTTGGTTTTAAAAAGTACAAAGTACGCCATCCATAATATACTCAGTAATCCTTTCATATTAAATCTTAAAATTAAAAATTTCCCTGGCTATACAAATATCGACCACTGCCTGTGGCTGTTTGCTGAAGCAATATACCAATGAAAGACTTATACTGAGAATTCATCATCCTCTCTTAAGACACATAACAACATAAACTTTTCAAACCTGTTCGTTTTAAGCAGTGAAAAACAATAGTTGGGTAGTGACTCTAAAAAAAAAATTTAAGTAATTTCTATGTGGTGCCACAAACAATTCAAGCCCCTGCCCTTACCCCAAGTTTTACAAAGTAAGCATTGCAATGTTTTTTTAATAAACACAATCATGTTTACTAATATTGTAAGTTAACACTAGCAATAATGTTTTCATGTGATTAAAATTAAATGGAAGCTACACTAAGAGTGGAGGTAGTAGATAGAAAATACATCTGTACTTGTCAAACTTCCAGGAACATCAAAATCACCTGGGAAACTTGTTTAAAATGTACAGTTTCATTCAGTAGGTCTGGGGTGCAGTCCAAAGCTTTTCCTACCCAATAAGCTCCAGACTGAGACCTACATTGCAAGAAGCTAATTGTCAGCTGGCCCACATTCAAATTCTAATTCCACTACTTATTATGCAGTTTCTTAAACTTAGTAGACCTCATTTTCCTCATTTCTGTATTAGAATTAATAACAGGTTCAAATGTTATGACTGTTCTGAAGTCTGAAGAAAAATGTATAAAGTGTGTACATAAAGTGTACATAATCCCTTAGCTGATACTGTTTTTCTATGGCTGAAAGTCTTCATTTAAGAAAGCTTTACTTCCATATTTATTATTTTATATTTTTTTACAAGACTGATTCTCCTTGTGGGCAAGGATGGGTGGGGAAAAATGGGGGAAAGTTAAGGAAGGGGTGACTTTGTCCAAAAAAGAAATGCACTCATTACTTGACTTACGAAATTGTAGCCCCTCTGTACAATACCTTAATAAAAACAATGAAATTATTTTTTAAAAAAGATCTGATTCTCATCTCCCCAAGACAGTCTTAATATCTACATTTGAGTGATCTGCTTTAACAGATATTTTGATAAATAATTGTTTGTGTGGAAAAACTAAATAAAGGTCCTTAAAAAAATACTTCATCTACCTGCTTAGAACAAACCTCAGTTGAAAGGAGCGACTTTTAGTTAAATTTTTAAAAAATGAGCATCTTCTATAAAAATTCTTTTCTACATTCTCAGATTAAGTGGAGAACTAAAATAAGAAAAGAGATTTTTCACCCAGTGTCTTTGGCCCTGAGTTTTCTAAAATGCTCGTTATTGGTTTATTTCTTCTCCAGACTGAGAATGCAGATCACCTCACAATAGCTGTATTACCTGGAGAAAGCAGTAGAAAATATGTTCACCTTGTACAAAACAGGACAAAGAAGCCATGTGTCCTGTCAATGACATAAACAGCTCAGTTTGTTAAGTGCCCTGCAGTAGAGATGTTGTAAGCTCTTCCAACTGGTGCAGGAATTTAGGACAAATTCCTGTTCAGCATTAGCAAGCAGAAAACCAAATTAAAAGGGCAGAAAGAGATTCCAAGATAACTGAAGAAGAGCCACTGCTCTAACAAACACCAAATGAACAGAGGAGAGGTACAAAAAGAGGCTGACCACAAGTCTGTGTTGAAATGAATCTCACTTTTAAAAAATATTGTGGAGAGAGAGAAGGGTTTAAGGAATTTAAGTGGTGATAATTTCTCCCTACAAAATAATGGCCTCTACATTTTTCTCTAGGTCAATTAAATCCAAAAGTGTCTGCTGTGTTGAGTGCCAGATGTACAAGATCAACTGCCCAAGGGTGTTTAACTTACCCTGTAAATGTTTCCCAAGCCTTCCAACTCGCAGAAGGAAGAGGATGTATTATGTTTGGTGCAGTTCCCACTGCCCGCCCCCATTCTTTACACACGTCCTTTGAGATTCTTGATTCTGTGCATTTCCCCCACACATTCCTTTTCTTTGAAACAGTTATTTAGTGCAATCAGAAGGAATGTAAATGTTCTGTAATGAAATCATTTACCTATCCCTATTTACTTTCCTCTTCTCACAGAACCACAATTCGTCCAGAAATCAACATGTTCCGCTAAAAAAGAAAACCTTGCATCTTCTAATCTCCCTTTGCAGCTCGGGGTTGACATGTCGCTGAATCTTCACTAAAACTTCTACAAAATGTTATTGAGTTGAACTCTTGAAAATGCCTCATGTCTCCCCTTTCTTTCTTCATAAAATGAAGCCTGGTGCTGGAGGTAAAGTATGACCTCCAAGGAATTAGGGTAACACGCTAAAACGGCAGAAAAATAATCTATCTTGATAATATGGGGCTATCTTACCTGGACTGGGTTAATTCCAGCTAGAATTGTTATGAAAAGTTAGGGCAACCATAGTTGCATCTTTGATATATATAAAAGGAACTCTTCCCTTACAGAAGATATTATATACAAACTCAATTCTTGGACTACCAAAGGATATGAATACATATATATTAGGCTTTAATTTCTCATATAATTGAGGATAGCTATTTCATTTATATAACCAATGGATGGCTTCCTTATGGCTTCTGCATAGTTTACGATTTCAAACATAAAATATATGCTTACCTTCACTTTTTTACCAAGTCGATCCTTCCATTTCTCAGCTATAGAGCCTTCCACTAGGAGTAACCTGCATTTTTAAAACAAGCACCCATTTTTGAAAAATTAAAGCACAGTACCAAGATATACATGAAATCTATGCCAAGACAGTCTAATGTGTTTATTGTAGAATAGGAAAGCCAAGTTTGCAAACAGTAAATCATCACCATTTGGGAGCCACAGAAACATTTAAGAAACAAATGAAGCTATGGTTCCTCTCTCTGGAGAAATTCATACCTATAAGTTCCACACACAGCCCTTTCTACCCAACATAGGAAACTGAGGAATCCAATTAAACCTAGTCCCTAAGAAAGTAGAAAGGTCTGAAGGTAAGATCCCCCAGTAAGATCTCTGAAGAAAATCTGCAGAGCGTAGCTGGGCAAGGAAATGATCCTGCATCCTTGAGGCATGAGTTACCTGGAGCGCTCCTCATCTTCATAGCCCATAATGATATATTCCTCATTAACGTGCAGTGGAGGGCACAGGCAGCCAGAGCTGGTGTAGAGGCTCACAGTGTCCCTCGGAATGTTCACCAGAGATGCCTTGAGAATCTCCTTCACCTCCACTATTACAGTCACATCATGGCACTTAGTCTTCACCTCTTTGACTTTAGCTCTAATGACTGCAATAAAAGATAATAGAGCCAACTCCATAAGACGATACACCATAGGCATCTCATTCAGAAAAGACAGTAGTTGGCTCCTTTCTAATCACTCTTTTTTTCCCTTGATGTTCAATGAGTAAAGAAGAAAAGTCAGCCAGATACTTTTGTTTTAGACAGGAGTGAATGAGCAACTGAATAGGACATCTGCCCTTTTAATGATTCACTCTCCCAATTTTAGTGTGTAAACAATGTATCTGTGTTTATATATGCACGTGTGTGTGTGCATGCTTTTCATTTTAAGAAATCCATTTAGGTTATCAAAGCTTAATCTGGGGCTGGGAAGGTGGCTCAGTGGTAGAGCGCTTGCCTTGCATGCCTGAGGCCCTGGGTTCGATTCCCCAGCACCACATAAGCAAAAAGAAAAAAAGCCGGAAGTGGCGCTGTGGCTCAAGTGGTAGAGTGCTAGCCTTGAGCTGAAGAGCTGAGGGACAAAAAAGAAAAGCTAAGATCTGAGATTAAGGTTCAAAACCGCCTAAGAAGGAAAGCCTGAGATTCTTATCTCCAATTAACCATCAAAAAGTCAGAAGTGGAGCTGTGGCTTAAGAAGTAGAGCACTACCCTGGAGCAAAAATAAAAGCTGAGGGACAAGGCCCTGAGTTGAAACCACAGGATCAGCAAATAAATAAATTAAATAAATAAACAAAAAAAAAAAAAAAAAAAAAAAAGCTTAATCTGACATGACTTTCCTCCAAAGTTTCGTTTTGGCTATAGGCGTGTGTATGTGTGTAAGCATACAGTCCCACTTGCTGCCAACGAAGTAAAATATATGAACTTCATCATACATGAAGCCTAGGTATTCACATTTTTTATGCTTCAGCAGCATTATTAACAGATTTTTCTCAAGTAGGGGGTCTCTTCTCAAACTAGTTCTGCAATCTTTATACCTTCCTCACCTTAGCTCACTGTTCAAACACGAACTGTTTTCTTTCTCTGTTTCAGTATAGATTATCTTTTCTATTTTCCTTTAGATACTTTCTTCTTTAATAAACCTTGGTTCTTCTATAATTTTTGAGGTCAGACACTCCAGCACTCCTCTCCAGTAAGGTATCATGGAGTGTGTTCTAGCCTGCTAGTTCTGATCATCTGTCTCTCACAATGGTGATCCGGGCACTTCATCCTCCTCATTGGAGTCAGATTTACTTCTCAATCTTCAGTTGCAAAGTCAAACTATTTGACTTAGAGTATAGAAAGCACAGTCCTGATACTTTCCAAATCTCTCCTTGGGAAAGCCAAATTCCTTTTTCTGGTAAATGAACTTTTTAAAGGTAAGTTTTTAAATAAAAACAATAAAATAAATAATAAATAAAAATGCCAATTAGCAAGCAGTCGATAGAATTTGCTTAGACACACTGATTGTGCCAGTTCAAGATCTATGGATAATGAGGAAAACACAGTGGTCCATTTTTAAGTGCACTTTTTGAAAGCTTCTTAGGGACAAATCTGCAAACCACTTTCATTTGTTAAATTTCTCATGTATTTTATGGGGTCAGAAATACAAATGATTAGAAAAAGTAATCCATGAAAATGGAAAGACTGAATCAATGCTCACCAATGCTCCAACTATTATAGAAACTTAATAATGCCCCAGTGCAACATACAGATAACAGAAAATAAGTTAGTACTTTTTAAGATTCTTAGAATAAAACCTAATTTTGCCATCAAAACTATTTCGGCCTTTAAAAAATCCATTGCCTTAAGTATGAGAACTTGTGACAAACAAAATATACTGGTCTAACTGGCCCTGCCTGGCATGATTTGCAAGTAGAATCTTCTCCTGTTCCCATTTTCTCAATTCTGTATTTTAAAAAGAAAGAAGATTGCCCTTTCTAGAATGTCACTAGAGAGAATTGAATGATGAATTCTTAACCCCAGCTTGCAGACATATTTTTGTGTCCTGGCTTAAGTAAATGTGTTTCATAGTATCCATCAACTATTAGCGATTACTGAGCTATGTAAATGTTCTCAAACTAATGATTTATTTACCCAATGTGTCTACTATTTTTATTAGAAATTTTTAGCACATGTACCCACTCCAAAATAAATATCTCTCTACAAGACCTACTTTATTATTCAAGTAATTTTGTTAAAACTCAAGAATTTTTAACTGAATGAATCTGAATGAGGAAGAGGTTTTATATGGCTTACCAATTACTCCTGCCCTACTTGGTTTCAATATACAAATATATAACATAATAATATATAAAATAAAAATCAATATATTTCCAAAGTAAATATACATTTCCTTTTCTGAGATTTTCCTTCTCTTCAATCATAGGATTCCCCCAAAGGATCTGTATACTTTAACTATGGGCAATCTGGTGATTGGTTATGAAAAAATAAAAGCTCCTCCTTTCTAGTAATTATGATCCATATCTCATATTCCTTTATAGTATTCATTCCGTACCTTCTCTAAGACTATCCCTCTAAGTCAAGTGACTCATAACCACTAGTATTTTAATCTTTAACAAAAATACCAGCACCAGTCTTCACAGCACCCAAAATAGCTATGTAATGTGAAAATTAATCATAATTAAAGACAAGTAAATGGCTAAATTTCCATAGTACAGTGTAACATTTTTACTTTTATTCTATCTATACTTAAACATTCACATCACTTTTCAGTCTTTAAAAAAAAATTAATATCTAATGCCAGACAGCAGTGGCTCATGTCTGTAATCCTAGCTACTCAGGAGGCTGAGTTCTGGGGATTGTGGTTCAAAACCAGACTGACCAGGAAAGCCTCTCAGTGAGACTCTTATCTCCAATTAACCTCCAAAAAACCAGTAGAGCTGTGGCTCAAGTGGTAGAATGCTAGCTTTGAGAAAATTCAGTTCAGACCCAGGCCCTCAGTTCATGCCATAGGACCAGCACAAATAAACATAGCAAAAAATAGTCTCTGAAAAATTAAGGCCACCTTTTCCCCTGAATTACTTCCTATCAGTTTGGATTCTCAGATAAACAGAAGCTTTCAACCTTGGAATGTGTGGAGGAGGAGGAGAAGGTAGTTAGATTTTAGTTCAGATGAGTATTAATCAAAAGTAAAAACTGACTTAATTGAAGAGAAGCCCTTCTTAAAGAGATTTAACTATACCATGAATTTTCTACATTATCTATTATTTTTCAAGATATCAAAGATTAATTCTGCAGAGTCATTTCCATTTCTTTCCTTCCAATTCCCAAAAATAGAGAAGGAGAAATAAATCTGACATATATACGTACACATATATATGTGTATATGTGTATATATGTGTATATGTGTATATATATGGGTGTGTGGGGAAGGGTCCCCTGAAATAGAGGGCACATGAACATAATGAAACTCTCATTCTAATAAGAAAATTCACTGTAAAAATCTATTTGATGGCCAAATTTTTCCCATTGACTTAGCATCAATAACACTCTGCAGAGAGTAAGCTGACCTTTATCAATCCTATAGATATAGGCTGAGTATTTGTAATCCTTTTTTTTTTTTTTTTTTTTTTTGTCAGTGGTAGGGTCTGGGCGCTGTCCCGCAGCTATTCAGCTCCAAGGCTAGTGCTCTACTACTTGAGCCACAGCACCACTTCCGACTTGTTCTGCTTATGTGGTGCTGAGAAATTGAACCTAGGACCTCATGCATCTGAGGCAAGCACTCTACCACTGAGCCACCTTCCCAGCCTGTAATCCAAAATTTTAACATCCAAAACTTTGAGCATCTACACAACACCAGAAAGTGGAAAATTAACTATGGGCTACTGGCCTCATGTGTCAGGTCATGATAAAAATGCAGGTGCCTTCAACATACTGCGTACAACTAACTACCTTCAAGCAATGTGCACAAGGTATTATGACACATAAATAAGTTCTCATTTTCAGGTATCTCATTATGTATTTGCAAATACTCCAAAATCCAAGAAGCAAAATCTGAAATGCTTCTGGTCTCAAGCATTTTGGATAAGGGGTTCAACCTATAACTAGAAAAACACTGTAGAATAATACCTATGGAACATCACATATATTGAGGAGTCCCACTGGAAAGCTCTAGTAATCACCCCTTCTGGATATGATGGTGATTATTTATGACACCAAGGCACCAGTATTCGATGTTACATTTTGAATAATTAAAGAAGAGCCAACTTGGGTTCAATCAGTGTTCTCAATATACCAATTCATTTCATGGAAGAGTTGAGAAACTTACGTAAGCTGGTGTGTGAATCAACCTGAGCACACTTCCTCACATGGCAGCAGCAGGCTTTATCCCCCTTCAGTTGAGCCAGCTACATTTAGATTCGTAGCTCTAAAATTAAGACTTACCAGAATGTCACATTTTTAGGTCCAGCTTGATAAGGAAGCATTACCTCGGGTAAATACCAACAATTTTTACTAAGTGCTACTTTCCGCCTCTGTCATTGGGAGAAAGCAACAGCCTCCCTAGGCTACAAGGTCTTCTCTTCCTCCCAATGACACTTACCCTCTGGGTAGAGAACAGTGCCTCTGTTTTGATTTGTGATTCTAAAATGCCAAGCATGCTGCCAGATAGACTCACAATCAAACATTTATTAAGAACTTCGCCCACAGGACACATTTTCATTGGTTCAAGTAAATGCTTGTGCTTTAAAAGTTGTCCTTTGCTCAGGTCTGTAATCCTCGCTACTCAGGAGACTGAAGCTAACCTGGGCAGAAAAGTCCGTAAGACTCTTATTGACATCAAACTACCAAAAACCCGGAAGTGGAGCTGTTCAAGAGTGTTAGCCTTGAACAAAAAGGACAGTGCCCAGGCCCTGAGTTCAAGCCCTAGGACTCACCACAACCCCCGCCCCTCCCCCAAATGTCTTTTGTTTTTAAGTCTTTTTCTTAAACTATTCTGTTCACCTACATATATGTCAGCATGCACATGTGACACACAGATACTTCTTTTTTTTCAACTTCTTTTTTTTTAAGTAATATGCTTTATTTCTGTTACTAAACACTTAAGTAAATATTATACTGAGAAACCAGGAGCAATTAAGCTTTGAGTGACCCACTGTAGTTCTTTCAGGAGGAAAAAGATGCATGCAACGAAGGTAGTTCTTCAGATATGGCATCTCAGCAATGCATTGTCAAGGTTCTACATATTACAAAGGCTTTTTTCCCACTTAATTATAATGTTATTACCTTTAGTAGTTATACCGAAGGATTATTATTCAACATGTCAGCTTCTGAGTACAATGAATCTTCTTTTATTGGTATTGTAAAGGTGATGTACAGAGGGGTTACAGTTACTTAAGTCAGGTAATGAGGACATTTCTTTTTGAACAGTGTCACCCCTTCCTAGCTTTCTCCCAATTTTTCCCTCCTGTCTCCACCCACATATAGTTCATTTTCAACATAGTTTCCACTGAGTGCCACTGCTGCATTTGTTCACCCTTTGTCCCTCCATTTCTGTGCTTTCCCCTTCTTCTCCCCAAAAGAGTAAACTTACAAACAAGACAAAAAGTACAGAAAACAAAAACAGCAATTGAGGGGGGAAAAACCTCTTGTTTCCATTTCTTGAGTTCATTTCCACAAATATCATTTTATATGATCATATGCACATAGCTATTGGCCTTTGTGATCCTTTGGCTTTGTCTCACTTACACACATTAATGGAGCAATATGAATCCCTCATGAAGTTATTCTTACCATAGTTGTAATTGTTCCGGAAATAGGTCTTCTGTGTAGCTCTAATTGGCTTACATTTGCAGCGTTCTGAAAAAATACAATTTTGTTATAAGCAATTTGTTTGGTTCACTAATTTTTTTGTAAGACTACATATTAATTTGGTGATGAGAAAATTATTTAATTCTACATATCTTGTCTCATTTACCTGAAACTACATGTTTCACTATTGGTAGAACAGCATAGAATGACTGCTGTTACTCACACTGGCATTTTTATGCTTACTTCAGGAAATTTCTATGTATTTTTTTTTGTTGTTTTGGAACTCTGGGCCTGGGCGCTGTCCCTCAGTTCTTCAGCTCAAGACCAGCGATCTACCACTTGTGCCACAGCACCACTTCTGGTTGTCTGGTGATTTATTGGAGATAAGTTTCACAGACTTTCCTGCTGGGGCTGGCTTTGAACTGCGATCCTCAGATCTCAGCCTCCTGAGTAACTAGGATTACAGGTGTGAGCCACCAGTGCCCAGCATATGCACATATTTTAAAAGAAACTTCATATTGTAGAAATGAGTAGTCACTGTCAGATAAGCAGTAATGAAAACACTGCTTTTATGTACTAAATATGTATACAATAGACATTCCAATTATTTCAAAATGTTTCATCTATAGGTTACCATATTGAAGAGTAGATCATCATACTTTTTTTTAAAACAGCTACTCTGCCAGAATTACATAGTAATAGAAAACAATATGCAATGACCACAAGAACATTTAATTTTATATAAAGGTTACTCGAAAATAAAATTCCTAAGCCAGACGCAGATGGCTCACACTTGTCATCCTAGCTACTCAACAGGTTGAGATCTGAGGATTGAGATTTGAAGCCAGCCTCAGTAGAAAAGTCGGTGAGACTCTTACCTCCAAAGAAGCAGCAAAAAGCTGAAAGTGGACATGTGGCTTAAGTGGTAACTTTGAACAGAAAAAGCCAAATAAGAGTGAGGCATTGAGTTCAAGCCCCTAGTGCTAGCACAAAAATAAAAATAAAATAAAACCCCAAGGAAGTTTCATTAAAAATTAAATGGCACACATTACCTGTATTTTGACACAAAAGAAGGGGAACCATAATTCTTTCAAGACTTGTTTTGTTTTGTTTTGGCCAGTTCTGGGTCTTGAACTCTGGGCCGAGGTACTGTCCCTGAGCTTCTTTGCTCAAGGCTAGCGCTCTACCACTTTTAGCCACAGCACCACTTCCAGCCTTTTCTGAGTAGCTTATTGGAGATAAGACTTTCTGTGTTCTGTCCCTTTTTTTGGTTGGTCATGGGGCTTGAACTCTAGGCCTGGAAGCTGCCCCTCAGCTCTTCAGCTCAAGGCTAGTGCTCTACTACTTGAGCCACAGCACCACTTCCGGTTTTCTGGTGGTTTATTGGAGATAAGAGTTCAATGGACTTTCCTGCTGGGCTGGCTTTGAACTGTCATCCTCAGATCTCAGCCTCCTGAGTAGCTAGGATTACAGGTGTGAGCCACCAGTGCCTAGCTGAATAATTTTTTTTTCAACAACCAGATTTGGAAATTTTCCAGGAGAACATGGTAGAGCAAGAGGGAGCAAGGGAATTGAAGATGTTTTCAAAGAAATGATTACTACTGTAGACAGTGCAGACAAGGAGAGTAAGTAGTAGTTAATGGACAGAGGAATTCTCAATGCAGGAAGGAAAATCAGCAGTAAGATGCCAGAGGAAATCAGCTGGAAGGGAAAGGTAGTAGGCAAAGAGTGGGGTGATTGAAGTTCAGATTATACGGCCAATGCCATTGTTAGAGACCAAAGATCAGAATAAGACACAGGTGGACCCATTGTAGCAATGAGATGTACAAGACACCAGGTTGAAAACGAACTTTACAACTTTTTGGAGGTAGGGAGGGAGGGGGGAAGGAGTTGTGGAGCTGGGGAGGGAAAGGATGGTAGGGAAAAGCAAATAAGGAGGTAACAATGCTCAATAGGAAATGTACTCATTACCTTACTCATATAACTGTAACCCCTTTGTACAGTATCTTTACAATAAAAAATATATTAAGAAAAAAGAATTTCCCATGTTAGTGAGTGGCTGGGATGGACCAGACAAGCATGTGAATAAAGCAAAGTCGAGGCATTAGATGGTTCATCTATGACATTATGATCATCAAAAACAACAGGGATGAATGCCATCTTGGAACACCTTTAAATGGAGGAAAGGCATATCCTATTTGGCCTTGTGGGTTAGTTCCACTATCCTTCTAGAAACAGAGTTGCAAAATCTTTTCTAGATCCTAGGGCCAGTTACATCCCTTCATCCCCAAAAAAGTCATCAAATGGATACTTTAGGGGAAATCGCAGAGTCTTGTGTCTAGGACATTAAAAATCAAAACACCAGAATCCTAACATTCTAATCTTAATGATGAAATGAGTATAGGGGAAAGAATAAAGAATAATAACAATGCAACTCTCACAGAAACCAAAATTAGAAAATATAAGAACTATATTAAAACCAAGAGCAATTTTTATTGTATTTGTGCTAGCTCTGGGGCTTGTAATCAGGGCCTGGTCACTGTCCCTGAGCTCTTGTGGTCAAGACTAGCACTCTACCACTTGAGCTACAGCTCCACTCCCACTTTTTTGTGATTAATGGATGAAAAGAACTTCAGAGACTTTCCTGCCTGGGCTGGCTTCAAACTGTGATCCTCAGATCTCAGTGTACTGAGTATCTAGGATTATAAGCATGAGCCACCAGCATCCAGCTAGAAAAATATTTTTTTAATTTAATTGATATTATTCTCAGTCATTATTATGCATTGAAAATCATGAAATGATGCACAGATCTATGCATGTGACTTTATAGTAAGCAAAAGCAGTCAGTCACAAAAGATGTACTGTACAATTCCTATGTTATACAGTGGCATTGTCTATAAAAATCAGATATCACCAATCTGCAACAAAAAAAAAGAACTCTGTATATACAAGGACGTTTTCAAAGATGAAGGAAATGTTCTTTTTCTTCAGCTGCATGATGGTCACACTGACATACATTTTGACATACATTCAACATACATTTTGACATACATATGTCAAAATTCAATGTGGTATACACATGAGAGTTGTGTGTTTTATTTAAATAAATTTAACCTTAATAATGTGCCATTAACATAAAAATTCATCGAGATATGTCATTTTTCCATGACTTAAAAACAATTCATTACATGTTTAAAATAATATTAATTTCCTAAACATATGCAGAGGGCAAAAAAGTACCATATTATTTGGGGTAGGGAAGTATATGGAAAATGTGATGAAGTTGACTGGCGAACCTAAGTAATATAATAAGGCTTTAAAAAGCAAATATAACATTTACTCAACTGCCAAAGCAAGCCTCAGATATTGCAATAAAGGACTCAATTCATAGTAATTTGCAGTTTATAAAAGGGAATTACTTAAGATTGAGAGGACTAACATTATTAATAAAAAAAAGAAAATTCAATTAATTTTTTAGAATGTATGCTTTTAAAAATATATACCTATTTACCTTTGAAGTTTTAAAAGACAGTCCACTTTTTAGCATGTGTGTTGTGTCCAGCCTGTGGTTGTCCTTAGCTAATAAATGTGATTTTTCTCACCCTCCCTCAAAAAAGAATTTATGCTTTTGGAAAATCTTAAATAAACTCCCTTTCACACAGTATCTGGAACTAAGATTCATTTACAATGTCCAAAATATAGAAAGACACAATGCAATACTTACTATTTTTCCCTAGGACATCTGAAGGGTGCGTTCTTTGGTGTACTCCAAAAAATTCAATGAACAAAAAAGCAAAAAGGGTTTCACAGTTTTTCAGATGTCTTGTCTACTCAAGGCCAATCACTCCTCATTTCACGTGGCATGCAGTGTGCCTGGTACCAGTAGGCATTCACTACATCCTGAGGAATGGGTTAATGGATGACGAAAACCTGTCATAATGTTTCAGTACTGGGGACCGAGAGAAACTATTGTGTCACATACTAACTTAGAATGTTGCAAGGTGGAAATTATTCATTAAAGTATTATTACTAGATATGTGATATTCTACCAGTGATAGAACTACAGTGATAGAAATCCTGTCACGAAAGTAAGGGTGAACTGGATGAATTCCAGCGGGAAGAAATTAGCATAAAGAGACAGGAAGAGGCTAAGCACCGGACCCACAGCTGGAGGCCAGGAGGAGAACACCACAGCAATGTGGGTAATAGCTGAAAGAGAAGACTGCTGAGGAAAGAGAACAGATCAGATGTATCAATTGCTGCAGACTAATGAAAAGCAAACCCTGTAGTTAGAAGCTACTGTATGGTTACAAAAATACTATTCATCTGACCTGGGTTTTTTTTTTCTCCCAATTAGTGTAGACGTTGGCCCAAATTAATCCTGCCCCTATAGTTAGTAAACTTTTACATTTGTAAAAGGTAGCTCAGACATTCTTATCTGAAAAAAACCCAGAGAAATAATATGGTCATATAATTAATTATTCTCTGGGATTTGAATTCAGGGCACTTGCTTTTCTGGTGTGCTACCACTTCAGTTATACTTCCCATCTAACTCTTGCTGGCTAACTGGAGAGAGAATCTCCTTTCTTCTGGAGCTGGTTTTGTTTTTCTGTTTTTTGTTTTTTGTTTTTCTTTTTTTTCCCTTTTTTCTGCTTATGTGGTGCTGAGGAATCGAACCCAAGGCCTCAGGCATGGCAGGCAAGCGCTCTACCACTGAGCCACCTTCCCAGCCCCTGGAGCTGGTTTTGAACTGCAAGCCTCTGGATCTCAGCATACTGAGTTGCTCAGATTATAGGTGTAAGCCACTAGTTCCAGGCTATTTGTGCACTTTGAAATGTAAATCTCATCACAAAGCACAAAACTTTTTTCTTTCCCTTTTTTCTTTTCTTTTTTTCTTTCTTTGCCTGTCCTGGGGCTTAAACTCAGGGCCTGGGCACTGTCCATGAGCTTTTTTGCTCAAGGCTAGCACTCTACCACTTGAGCCACAGCACCACTTCCAGCTTTTTCTGTTTATGTGGTACAGAGTGTTTATGTAGTACTGAGAAATT